CGATAAGGAACGTGTGAGTCGCTTCTGGGGACGCCGTACCTGTACTCAGTCAGTAGTATATACATTTTTGAGCTTATGATTTTTTAGAATTTTAGAATTAAAAACAAAATTTTACATATTAAATTGTTTTGCTACATCTGTTATGTACATCTACAATGTATATTATACATCTAATATGTAGATTGTACATGTACCATTTAGATTCTACATCTCCTCCGCTAGGGGTTGCTCGCGCACTGAACGAGGCAGAGTGTGCGAGCGAGAAAGAGAATCAGTAGCGTTAGCAGCGCTGGAGAAGGAGGAGGAACCAACAGAAAATTAATTTCTTTATTCTGGCTATAATTATGATCCGATCTGATTCAGATCTCTACGATACTGCGTTTTTAGTTTATCGTATCTTTAAAATTTTGCCTGCCACAGATTTTCGTCCTTTGTGGGGGCGGAAGGGGGAGTCTGTGTGATATCACATGAGTCTGAAAACAAAATTTATTTGCTCTAGCTTTTATAGTCTCTGAGATCCAGGCGCTTAACAAGACGGACAGACAGACAGACGGACAGACAGACATGGCTATATCAACTCGGCTATTGATGCTGATCAAGAATATATATACTTTATGGGGTCGGAAACGTTTCCCTTCTCTGCGTTACACACATCCACTTTTACCACAATATCTAATATACCCCTAAACTCTTTTTTGAGTACGGGTATAACAAAAAACAATTTAAACGTGGGGCAGCGTCGTTCAGCGGACACTATAATAAACGGTACACAGAAACCTTAGCCAATACGTATGTACATGCCATACATATGTACATACATATATATTTTCAATAAATAAATAGAGATATAAGAGGCCCTGCAATGCCCTTAATTTTCTGGTTTTCGCTTCTGTAATTAAATGATTTATTTAACTTGTATTTAACAATTCCTTCCTTGAATATTCCTGCGCTCTGAATATTTTCTCTTTCAAATAAATGTTTAATAATCCAGCTATTTAATAATATTTAATAGCATAATAATAATATTTTAATATTTTATTCCATTTCCATTTTGCAGCATTCGGTTAGATTTCTCTCTTCTCTTCCTTGCTTCCAACTCTCATCTCATCATTTTCCACAGGCATCGAAATGGCTAAAATTCAATTGGTTTCTGCTCAAAGATCGGGGCATATGTATGTTTTATGTTGTGTTTTGTTCCCCTGTTTTTGCTGCCCCCTGCCCTTGTATTTTGTTGTCAAAACATTGACATTCCGCCCGTCTCGAGGCAGACATTGACCCGAGACCACGTGACCTACGGACCTACGACCCGCATCTGGCCAGACCTCGCCACTCCACACATGGCATGCAGAGTGCTGCTGCTGCATTGCTGCTGCATCGTTCGGTCGCAACATCACGGGGGTGGCTGGAGGTCATTGCTTGCTCAGACAAGAGTGTGGCAGAGTGTGTCCTTTGGCTGGATTTCGCAGTGCTGCAGTCGACAGAACAGACCACTCCTGTGACCACTTCTGTTCCTCATGCGCTTCTGGCACTTCTGCTCCACCTACTGCTCCCCTTTCCTGGTCCTGTGCTCCCTTTGCCTGGTCCTGTGCTCCCATTCGCCATCCCTTTTGTTGCTTCTTAGTGTCAATAACAGTTAGTCAACAGTCCCCCCAGGCATCGCCTAACAGTCGCTGGGCATCAGGGGGAGGGAGCCAAAAGCAAAAACACGGGCTAGGGGGGCCTGGCCTGGGATTCCTGGTGCCAAATGCCAGGAGAGCCAACCGCCAGCCAAATGAGAAATGTTGTCAACATCTCTCACGTTGCTGGAAGCTCAAACATTTGCCCCATGCCATAAGATTGCGCATAGCATCGCACCACCCTGCGCCCCTGCCCCTGCCCCTAAACCATGCCTCCTCCTGCCTCTCGCCATCTCTCTCTCGCACTTGCGAAAATATTTGCAGATCCGATAAAGCGAGAATCGCAGTCCACGAAGGTTGTATAACATTCGAATGCGAAAATGCGAAATGAGTAAAAGCCATGACGCCAAAAAGAGAGCCCCACCAGCCGAAGTCGATTCGTAATTCGATGCAAAAATTTATTAAATTAATATTTATCGTTCATAGATCCATAATCAAGGGATTCTAATTCCAAATATCCAAAATTTATCCATTGATCATTGGTACAAATAATACAAAAAAATGGTCATGGGCGGATGTTGCGGCGGATTTGCCCTTGAAAATCTATGAGAGATCCACTGTCAGATACCCTTGAATAGCTGGTAGGGGATCATGGCCAAGTTCTCACTCGAGAGGAGCTCTCACTGTGCATCCATTCGGATCCGGTATTGAGAATCGGCCTACACATTTTAATGTTTTAAGCGATTGACGCTTTCCCTTTCAACGCCAGACAGAGATGACGGGATTCCAGCAGCAGAAGCTGGTGGTCTAGAGAGGGGGAAGCGTAAGGGACACCACTCGGATGTCTATTTTAAGATCCCCGACGCACTTGGATGCATCCATCCTATCACATGCCATACCACCACCATCCCAGTGGATCCTCCCTTGTCCTCGCCTGCTAATAGATCGTAGCAATAATTTAATGGACATCTTGTACCGCTCTCCACTCCACTCCGCTCTTTTCGATCTCTCTTCTCTCTCGCTCTCTGATACCAGAGATCGACAGGCAGCGCGGCGGCATCTGTCTCTGGATTGGCATCGGCCTCCGCAAGAGCCTGTCCATATATGTAGAGCGTGCCCCTGCTGCCCCTGCTTCTTGCTCTTCCTTTGGCTTAATGCCTCAACCCACATATGGCGGCATCGCATGGCATGGCCCTGGACTTGGATTTATATTTAGTTTTCTTCCTGCTTTTGCCAATTGAGATGGGAAAAATGTAGAAAAGAAAAGAAGGGAATACCAGGCAGTCAGGGGGAGCAGCAGCACCGTGAAAATCGAATGTCTGTCGATCGTTTCGTTGAAAATTATATCGATTGCACTTTAATACTACACTGCACTCTGCACTCCTCTCTTTCTCACTCTATTTCTTCTCTATTTCTGTGTGATTTATGTGCACATTTCCATCCCAACTTCTTTCATCTTTCAGTTTTTTTCTATAATAGATGCCACCGAAGTGGAGTGTAAGCGACATGGGCACGTGCGGCCTTAATTAAGAAAGAACTTATAATACATATGTATATTAAATTGTTCAAAATGTACAAAAAAAAAAACGCACAAAATGAGAGCTGCTTTCCCTTAATGGAAGGGAAGGTCCCCCCCATTTCGGATGGTTCCATCAGATTACGTCTCTTTCCGAGACACCCCCGGGAGAGTTCTTTCGAACAATATGCCACGATAACTGAAATCAATTGCTGCCGCCTGAGAGTCGCTGGAGAGAGCCAATCGATCGACATTCCCCTTATACGAAATCGAGTGCTATGCTGGATGCTGGAATGCTGAAGCAAAGACCTGCGATCGATTGCTGCTGGGCCTGCAATTCGCTGGAACTTCTGGAAAACCAGAAAAGTATTTGAGGCAAACAGTGGAGCAAATATTGCGCATATGTGAAAATTTAAGTGTTTTTTTTTTCTTTCCTAGGGAGACGCAAACCGCAGAAACCGCGAAATCTGAGAACACCAAGAGAAGGGCTGGATGGGTGTGGGTAGACACGGGGTCGGGCGGGAGGAGAATGCACAATTAATCAAATCTGTTAAACACACAATTCCGATTTCAATTGAATTCAATTTACGAGCGAGAGTTGTTTTATCGCAGATTACGCAGATTTGGAGCAAAAAACTTTTACGAATAGAGAGAGGAAGGTGAGGGACAGGGACAAAGATAACAAGCGATGACAACGACCGTTTGGTCACTTAAACAGTTTGAGAGAGCGGAGCAAGCAGAGCTAACAGTTTGAGAGAGCGGAGACAAGCATGAGCAGAGGCAGTGCAAAATTTAGCAGATGTACCCTTTTAGCTTAAGCTAAAATGAAAATAAGAAAATAAAGTCTTAAAAGTGGAAAATATCAAGTGGGGAAAAAAAAATCTACAAGCAATACTTGAAACAAATATACCCCATTGCCCATTGCTAAGGTACGGGGTATCCCGCAATCCGATGCGTTACATTTATTTCGCCTTCGGCCTCCTTCTAGCCTTCACTTCGCCCTCGTATTTCCTCTCCTGCCTTTGCTTCTGCCTGCTGCCTTTTTTCCTGTCGTCTCCTCTTTGGCAGCGGAGCGTAACGCGACGCACGCGCCGCCTTCAGGCAGAAGCAGCGACGCAGAGAAATTTTATGCGCAGGCGCAGCCCCCAAAAAGGCCAGCGACTTTTGTCTTCTGCTGCTTCCTCCGCATGCTGCGCGACTTTTGTTGTTTTTGTATTATTTTGTTGTTGTTTTTTTTCGAGTAGGCGGACAATCCGCCTTCGATCCCGTTCCCACACTCTCAGCAGGAACCAAGAGAATAGCAGGGGAGAGGCAAGGAAAGACCGGCTGCAGCTGGTCTCGGCTAGAGGAAATTTGTATACCCTACACACCTACTCGCACCGTCCAAAGGCAACAGACCAGAGAGAGCAGTGGGAAATGCTGTAACGATGCTCCCTACAATAGTTTCCTTCCCATTCTCTTGACACCCAGATCAAGAGACCAAGAACTTTTGTATTGAAGGAGACGCACTCTTGATTTTCTTAAAAAAATTCAACTAAATAAAACCCACCTTGTGATCTTACACACCGCACCGCACCCTGACCACAAGCAGAAGCCCAAGACCAGTAGCTGGGCAGCGCAGAACAGGCAATCCTAAGCCGAGTTCAATGTCAAGTTCAATGTCGTGCCATGCGACGAATTTTATGAAGATTTAATCGAAACGAAGTGCCCTGTGACTATACATTTAGTTTCCAATTTAGTTTCAGAGATCAAATCATTTAATACAGATTTTTCAGAGCGTCAACTTCATATCGAAATTTTTATTTTATTCTACTAAAACAACAGCAAAATTTACAAAACAATAATAATATTTTTTCATCCGGTACCAGCAAAAATAACTCAAGAAGGAGAACTCAAGTACAACGCGCTTACCGTTTCACATAAGGATACTGCGAAGTGAGATTGGATTGCTTGGACGGCTCTGACGTATAGAAGGAACAACGCGCCTATTGGTTAGGGACGAGCCCAAAATAAGACAACGGGTATGTTTGGATTTGATTGCATTTGTTGTTGTTGTTGTTGTTGAGTGGTCATCGGCACCAGGCCCCGCCACCCCAACCCCGCGGCCTCACCCTCACACTCGACAGATTTATATCTCGCGGCTTCCCGTCCTGTCAAGGACGCACTTATCCCGATGAAGCTCTCTGTAGGGGATCGGGATGGGGTGCGTCACGCTTATGACGTGAGTCATTCAGAAAGTGAACAAGAGGGGAACCCTAGTGGGAGCGGAACGAAGAACAAAAACGCAAAACCCGAAAAGAGTTTTAAAAGGGTTATTAATGGTGGCCGAGTGTACAGGGGACTGTCGAGAGAGGGGCAAGAGGGGTGTTTTGCAAGAGCTCGTGACACTACAGATCTGCTGGATCGCGGCCCTCTCCCTGTCTCTTTCTCTCTCTCTTTCCCTGGCTTCGTTTGATTTTTTGCGAATTCTGTCGTTTCCTTGTGTTTCGTTTGTTGTTTTTTTTTTATCTACAAAAACATTTGCAGGGCGCCGTTAGGACTGCGCTGCCGGCGTCGCGATGCTTGCTCTGCTGGGACGCTCCCGTTAGTGGTGGGACGGTATTATGATGGTGGTGGGCAATGGTAGGCAGCGAGAGGAAGGAGTTTCATTAGCACACATTTTAAACTAAGTAATTAAACACGCGAGAGTATTTTAGAACAAGCCCAGTCCTCATTCCTCTCCACCATGGCCCATGCAGCACGCACGCAAAATTTTTGGGCAGCAGCAGCAACGCTAAAGAGAGAGCGAGCGTGCCCGGCTGCTGCACACACACACTCACACACTGTTATTGATTTTATTTATTGATTTCACACACAAGCACGCACACGGACATGCAGGAGTTGCGTGGAGATAACGGAGGAACAGCAATAGGGAGATGGAGAGCACAACACAAACAAAAAAAAACCACCAAATTGTAATTGTCCCAACCGTTTCACCACTCCCCAGCCCTTCACACAGGATAACACTTACTGCACTCTCACTCGTTCGTTTCGTCGAGACTCCTCTCTCTCTCAATGTGTTTGTTTTTTGGTTTCCTAAGCTCCTTGACAAAATTTCAACACACGCCCTAATTTGGTTAACGGTGGGGGCTGCTGCAGGCGCCAACGAGAGGGGCGTGGGGCCACCGGGCGACTCCAACAAACAAAAGGGACACACACACGCACACTCGCAAAAAAAACTGCAGGACACTCCCGTTATCGTGCCCGCTCGCTCTCAGCTTTCTCACCGGCTGATGGGCGACCGCGCCAAATTACTTTTATTAGATTAAACAGTGGCACAGAGCCATTTCAATTGCACTTTTCGATGCTTGGCTATGGATTTAAACGCGCGCTTAAGTTTTTATGTTTGGGCGCCCCAACGGCCGCAAAAATGCTGGTCAGTGTGACCGCGGAATTATTGATAAAATATACCCGCTTGACCCTCAGAAATATAGCGAAATATACCTTGTCTTTATCAAAATATACCGTACATATACTGACTGACACGAACATATGCATTGATATTCCTCCATTTTGATATTAGTTTTAATATTACTATAATACCGAGTGATCCAAGTTCCCAGCTCAAATGAACCAAAACTGACTCCGATGATTCAGTTGACTATCGATAGTCAGGTGCTACTTTGGCGCGCACTTGAAATGTGTTTTGGATGTGTGAATGTTTGAAACAGGTTTCTTAGATTTTACAATCAGACAAAACATCTAGGTAAGATCCCATTGATCACTTCCCAAAATAAGAGCTGTAATTCATATTGAAATTCATTCAAACTAAATGAAAACAACAAACAAATATTTAACGAAAGTAAACAAAATTATTTATTTTTTAGGCGTATAAAAATACACTGGTCTGGCCGATAATCGTCGCCAACACAAGAAAGCAGTGATTTGATTTATATTTATAATATATTATATTATATTTATATTTACTTTTAGTCGAAAGCTCTTCAATCATGGATTCGGGGGATGAGGCCGGCTGCATGTTTAGCTGCGATTCATGCGAATCATGTGCAGCTATGCCCCCGGATCTGACGGAGGGATTGCTGGACTGCGAGACTGCGGCATACGCGTCCGATGCATCGCCAGCGACCAGCGTCGTGCAGGAGGAAGTATCCTCATCCGTATCGCATGGGGAGAGCAAAGCAGTGTCTGGCGCGTTGAATGAGCCAACAGATTCGGACGACTCGGTTGAGATGCCGCTGAAGAATGCGAAGAATTGGAACTTTGTGGAGCACTTCAAGAAGGACCCGAATGGCTTCCTGCATGAAATTGTCGAACGCTATGTCCACCTGAACAATGTGGTCTTGGGGAAAAGTAATTTGGCCAAGCGGGCCGCCGAACAGTCAAAAATTGACAGGCAGCAGCTGTTGGAGGAGAAGAAGCTGACCAGCGATCTGCGCCAAGAGCTGGAGGACTGCAAAAAGAGTCTCGAGGAGGCGAACGCCAACTGCCGCAGCCTGGCCGTTGAGAGTCAGCATTATCTGCTGGAATTGGATTATACCAGGGAGCAGTTCTACGAGGAACGTTCCGAGGACTTGATGAAGCACAACGACATCTGCACCATCTTCCGCAACGAAATCAGACAGACTAAAAGTGTATGCGCGGACCTGGCTGCCGAAAAGGCACAGCTTATGGATGAAATCCTTGTATACAAGAGTCAGGCAGAGGCATCAGAAGGGCCAGAGGGAAGCGGTGGCGGAGGCGGTGGAGGAGGGGATGTGCCCGGCAACATTCAGAAATACAAAAGGTTGTGTACGGCCCTCAAAACCGAGCTCGATCGGAACCAAGCCGTTATTCAGGAGTTGCAACAGCGCAACGAAAAATTAGAGCTTGATGCCGCTTCCATGGCGGCATCTTCACCGGCACCTTCACCGGCACCTTCACCGGCACCTTCACCGGCACCTTCACCGGCACCGCCGTCAGTGACCGATGAAATGGTGCAGAATATGAGCGTGGAAAATGCCATGCTTAAGGAAGACCTGAAGTTCTATAAGAAGCAGTTCTTTGATGACAACGCCGAGGTGTTGCAGAAAAACAACGAACTGCAGGCGGAGCTCGCGCAGATGCAAACAACTTGCGAGACTCTGACCGCTGCCAATGAGAAGCTTTCGAATGAGATGGGCATCTACAGGGAGTCGTTTTTCAAGCGAAAATCAAAGGGCAAGGACGAATTGAAGGCATTCTGTCTGGATATCCAAAACGAACTCGTGGAGAGTAAGCAAACGGTTGAGAAATATCGTTTGATGAACGAGAAGCTGATCGACAAAGTGGCTGACATGAAAATTATGATCAGCCGCATGGATATCCATGCTAAGGGACTCCAGGTGGCGCTCAAAATTAACACTGAACTTGAGAAGCGTGGGCTTGTGCAAGCCAAGGCCATAGAGCTACTGCAAAGCGTCAATTCAAATATAAAGGCGAGCTACCAGGAGCTGCAGGAGAGCTTCAAACGTCAAGTGGCCAAACGAAAGGCCCTCACCTTTATACCTGACGGTGGTGGCCCTGATGGTGACAACGACCGTGACAATGACGGAAAACTGCCGTCTCTGCTGATGAAGATGGTCGATCATGTGGATAAGATATCATCCAGCACAGCCAAAGCAGGCCACAGTCTCGGCAGCAGTCCAAACAGCTCCAGCAGCAACATATCAATGTCTCAGGTCATTGGACGCAACCACCTGATAATGGACCCCGAGGAGGTGCTGGAAGATGTGTTCAAGGCATTCTGCGGCCTGGCCACCGACTACTGGGTGACCCATATGCATCCCAGGCAGTCCGGCAAGCACGTGCCATCGGCTGGCAGACGTCACTCATCCAAATAAAACTGTTCAGTTATCTACACAACACTACACTGCACAACACGACACTACACTGCACTGCACTGCACTACACTACACTGCACTACACTACACTACACTACACTACACGACACGACGCACGACACAAGGCAAAGCAATAGGGGAAGATCGATCCGTTTGAGTGTTTTTGGCCCCCCCATAATTGTTCATGCATTATTGTTATTTTTATACCCCTACACTACACTACACAATCAACGCATCACTGCGGTTTTCACAATTGTTATTATATTTTGTATTTGCACTGTTTTTGAATCTAAAAATTAAACGCGCCCATTGGCAGGGGTCGGGACTGCATAAATATCCGGGCCCCAGCTGTGCGGTTTCAGCGCTTTATTGTCAGCCATTTCTTGAACTTTAAGGCCCAGTAACCTGGCAAACATGCCTCTGGAGAAACTGCTCCTCTTTATGGAGGCCTCGGGTTGGTTCGCGAAACCTGCCTCCCGTGACGAGTGTGGGCATCACAATGTGGGCAGACTAACCTAACCTAAGGCCCCGTACCAGTACCAGTCCCTCAGGCATCTTTAGTTCCTCAATCAAAGTTTGTTTGCTTATCCTTACGTGGATTCGCTTTAACTTTAGCGATAAATCGTTTATTCAAAAGTTCTAGTTACAAATAGCAATACATATACATAAAGATATAGCGATACATACACATATAGATATAGATTTAGATATATAGTACTTGTACATGTTCGCATCATAAAACCACGACGGCTCTTTTTTGTTGTGTTGGTTTCTTGATGATCGGTTGATTGACTCTTACAGCCTAGGCCCAGCTTATGACTACGGGATCTGGATGCACCACTCTGATATCTGTGTCCCGGCGGTGTAGCAGAGAACGAGAGACAGTGACTACAATAAATACACACACGTATACGTACGATAACGATAATTTGGGGGTGTGGAAGGGGGGAGGAACGGGGGGGGAAACATATTTACATATATTTTTTTATTTAGTTTATTTTTTGTTTTTTTTTTTTTGTTGTCTAGGGGATCTTGACGGGCAGAAAGAGGCGCGGATCGCCAATCTTGGGACTCAGGCGCACCACCACCTGATCGTCGCCGTCGCCGACCTCAAGGAAGGAGTTCCAGTCGGCCAGGAAGTAGAAGCCGTTCTTCTTCTTTGCTGGCGGCGGATCCTCGGTGACCGGATCCGGCCCAAACGAGTCCGCCAGATCATCGAGCGAGCCATTGCGTGACTCCTCCGTGGCGCTGTTGCCCGACTCGGCTGGGGATGGCGATGGCGATGCCGATGGCTGGGGGGCTGCTGATTCCATGGCGGATCCTGTGTCCATGTCGCCATCGTCCAGTCCCAGACTCAGGCTGATCCGTGTGGGTGCTTGGGTGGTGCTGCCCTCCTCCTCCGCTGCCTCTACTTTCGCTGTGGTGGTGTTGGCTTCGCTTTGGCGCCTCGACTTGAAGGTTGAATTGTTGTGGCCATCCTGCAGCGACTGCAGGTAGGCAACATCCTCGGACTGTGCCGGCTGAGGCTGTGCCTGCACCTTGTCCAGGCTCACATTGAGCTGCTGCAGCTGCTGCAGATTGCTAATCAAACGCTGCAGTTCGCTTAGGTTCGTCGTCTCCCGCTTCTCCGGCTGTTGCTCCTGCTCCGGCTGCTGCTCCGGCTTTGCCAGCTGATAGTTGAGCTCACTGAACTCGGCCATTAGGTCACCATCGAGGACACCCTCAGCCTCACCCGCCTGCATGTCGAGATCTTCGGCCGCAGCATCCTCATCGTCGCTGCGTCGTCGGAATCCCTGTCCCATGCCCATTCCCAGGGGCATGGACGCCAATGGCAGGGGCTGCTCGGTGGACACACCAATCCGGTTGGCCGCTCGCTTGATGGCCGCCTCTATGATTTTGGTGGCACTGAACACCGGCAGCTCCAGGCTGCTCTCCGTCGTGTGCGTCGCTGGGCGTCGTGGCCGCGGCGAGGCCGGCTTGATGGTCGTCAGCGAGAAGACCGCCGGCGAGGACGAGTCCACCATCTGCTGCGGTGCTGGCGTCGTAGTCGTCGTCGTCGTCGTCGTGGTCGTTGTCGTCGTCGACTGCAGCTGGCTCTCGAGCTGCTGCGAGAGTTCATGGGGCAGGGCCACGCCCAGCTTCTGCAGCTGCTGGGTGTTGTACAGCAGCTTCTGCAGCTCCTCGAGATTGGCCTGCCTGGGGCCGGGTGTCGTCGGATGGGGATGCAGTTGGGGCCGGCTCCTGGCCGGCACAAATCGTGGCGCTGACGGTGTCACTGTCACCGCCAGCGGTCTGGGCGTTGCCGTGGGCGTCTTGTAGATGGGCTGCATTTGGTGGTAGCTCTGACGCTCGCCCGTGTCCTCCAGATGGCCAAAGAACTGCTGAAACTGCTGGCCAAAGTCCTGGTCGATGGCCGCTAGTCCCCTTTGCGGATGTGCCGGCTGTGTCATGGCCAGCTCGCGCAGCTCCTCGCTGGAGCTCTGGTGAGCGGTGGCTGCTGGCTTCTGGTACACTGGCAGATCCAGCTTCAGCTCCGGCTCTGCCAACTCTGGCACCTCCGCCACGGACTGCGCATACACAATGTGCGCCCCATTCAGACTCTTCACATTGGGCGTGCGCACCGAGGCGGCGGTGGCCAGCTGTGGCTGTGGCTGTGGCTGTGTCTGTGGTGTCTGGTGCTGGTCCGTTTGCAGCTGCACTCGCTCCAGCTCCTGCACCTTGCTGAGCAGCTTCTGCAGCTGCACGTAGTCCTGCGGCTGCACTTCCTGCAGCAGTCCGTTGCTCCGCTCGAAGTGGCTCAGCGGTCGCTGCTTGGACGTGGACGCGGCCGTCGAGATCTCCACCTGGCCAAACGGCGTCGTCGTTGTGGGCGAGAGCTGCTGCAGCTGGGCAAAGTCGTTGCTGGGCAGGCAGGCCAAGGCCGCCGTTTCGGTTTGCCTCGCCTGCAATGGCCTCCGATCCGGCCACATTTCGGGTGAGGAAGTTCGGCGTCGTTGGCTTGGGCTGCTGCAGCCGCTCCAGCTGTTGCACCCTCGTGATAAGCGCCTCGAACTGGGCATGGTCCACCGCTGCTGCCTTGGTGGTGCGCGGCGGTGTTGTGGTGGTGCTGGTGCTCGTTGTGGTGCTCGTGCTCGTTGTGGTGCTCGTGCTCGGGGTGGTGCTGGTGCTGGTGCTCTTTGGCTGCTTCCTTTTGGTGCTTCTTGCCTGCTCGTAGAGCTTCTCCAGCTCCCGATCGTCGCTGAGGAGACGCTGCAGCTGCAGCAGATCTGCGGCGCCCAGCGAATTGGCCTGATTGAGCCAAAATAACCCAAATCGAGACCGGGCTCAGGCTTCACGGTCGTACTGCTGCTGGTCGCTGGGGCTCTCATCCGCTCCAGCTGCTGCAACTGCCGCAAGATCAGCTGCAAATCGCGTGCATCGCTGGCTGGTGTAGTCCGTGGCGGCGGCGGCGGAGTCGTTGTGCTGGTGCTGGTGGTCGAGGTCGTGGAGAAGCGATTGCTCAGTGTCTGTGTGCCCGGATTGCTGCTGGTCGCCTTCAGCACGTTCTCCGGATTGATTTTCAGCTTTTCCAGCTCCTGCAGATTCTGCAGCAGCTTCGACAGCTCATCCGTGCGGTGGGCCGTGGGCTGCTGGTTGCCTGCATTCGCGAAATTAATGTCAATGTTGGGATCGATGCGTCTCCTGGGCTTCTTGGCCTCAATGAGCAGCGGCTCCCCATGGGTGATGAGTTGCACTGGCGCTGGTGTTGTCGTTGTCGTGGTGGTGCTGGTGGTGGTGCTTGTGCTGGTGGTGCTCGGTTTGGTGGTGCTGGGTGCAGCCTGTTTCCTTTTGGGCTGCGACTGTAGGCGCTCCAACTCCTGCAGATTCTCCAGCAGTTTCGCCAGCTCTGCGTTGCTTTGGGGCGGCAGACGTGCCGTGGCCGTCGAGAGCTCCGTGTGGGCGCCCGCCGGCTCCTCCGTGGGCAGGGCACTCTTTTTCAGCGACTTGGGCGCCTTCTTGACGATGCCGAAGCGCGTGAGGTAGCCCTCCACCTCGGGCTTCGCCCGCAGCTCCTCCCCAATGTTGAGGGGCTTGAAGTTGGAGTAGGCATCCGGCCGGATGCGTGCGCCCTGGAGGCCGCGCAGATCGGCCACCGCCACCACCGAGGGCTGTGGTGCGCTCTCCGCCGGATAGTAGTCGTCCATGGCGTACCGCTTGTGGGTCGAATCGCTCTCCTTCGCCTGGTGGCCGGACACAATGCCCAGGCTCTCGAGTATATCGGCCACGGGCTTGACCGTGCTCGATGTGGGCTTCCGCTTGCGCAGGAACTGCGCATTCTTGGCGCTGTAGTGGGAGCTGAAGCGCTGCGAGCCGGAGGGACCCACAGCAGCCGCCACAGATGCGGCCGGAGTGGTGATCAGCGGCTGGAAGTCCTGGTACATCACTGGCGGTGGCGCTGGCGGATGATATGTGGTGGCCGAGGGCATTGGTTGGAACTGCTGCTGCTCCTGTTTGATCTGGGAATGGGCTGGATAGAGATGGGCCCGGCATAGGCCGGCTTGTAGGTGGTGGCTGCCACCCGGGGATTGCCGCCGGGCACCGTGCTCCGGGGCACGGCATTCGGATCGGGTGTGAGGAACTTAATCGGATCCGGCGGGGTGTACGCATCGATGACCCGCGTGACGGGCGGCCGGGTGTACAGCTCCTGCAGATTCTCCTCGGTGTTGTTGTCCGTGTTGAAGGGCAGCACGAGCATCAGGGCCCGCATGCTGTCCGCCCGGCTCATGTCGCCCGCCTCGATGCTTTTCTCGTACTCCTCGCGCGTCACCTTCTCGTACAGCTCCTCGATCTCGCCTCTGTCGGTGGCATCAGTGTGTATCAGACGGGGGGGCAGTACAGAAGTTACTGAGGATTTGTGTACGTACCGCGTCAGTCGTGGCAGTGCCGGATCATTGGCCAATATCTTTTGCACCTCATCGATCGTCTGCTCGATCTCTGGCGGCTGAAAGAAGCTCTTGTCCAGCTGCTGCTGCTGCTGCTGCTGCTGCTGCTGCTGCTGCAGATAGTTGGTGGCCTTGTTGCCCTGAATGGTGGGCAGTGCCCGGACACCCAGCTGCAGCACCAGACACAGTGCCAGAAGGCACTCCACGGAGCTTGCGCCTTGTGGCATGCTAAGCCGAAAAAAAAGAGAAGAGAACAAAGTAAAAGTTAATATAATATTTATTCGAATTTTGTCTATGTATCTCGGAGTTGGCTCAGGCATTAGCTGCAGAACAATTCCCAATAAAGCTCAAAGGATACCTCGGGGAATATCCCGATGGATGTAGCTTGGTTTGCACCTCATGGTTCATTTGCAGAGCATTTCCCCTAAGCAAAAACCAGTCGAGCTTCCCTTGGGCACATATTGAGTGAAATTTCCCTGCCAAGTGGAACCCCCTCAGCCCAGCCTTTGTTACCCCTATTGGAGCCCACAAATAGATTGGTTTATTTGATCTCCCGGCACCGAAATGAACCTCTCGCATTACCTCACGAAACCACTTCCAGTTGAGTGGCTATCCGCAGCATTCAAACCATTCAAAGCATTCAAAGCATTCAAAGCATTCAAATCATTCATTCATCATACAAATAAATATCTACAAATTTCCGCCCAGCAAAAAAAAATATACAAAACAACAAAAACAAAAAAAAAACAACAAAAACAGCGAGGTGGAAACCCGAGAGAAATGGTAGATGAGGCAAAATATTTAATAATAACTTGAAAATGTGAAAGAAATCAAATGAAATGCATGACAAATTTTTGCGTCAAAGAGGAGGCAGACAGATACAGACAGATACACAAATAAGAGTACGATTACGAGTATGTGGGGACAAGTGTACGGAAAATGTATTTAAACAACAACAAAACAAGACAAGACCAGTCACAAAATGAACGACACTACTGGTAAAAAAATACGAGAAATATTTGCTTGAAGAGCAGGTGAGGTAGAGCAGGTGGGAATTACCATCATTTGTTATGATTTTTTGAGGCTTCAAGATTGGGGATTATGCAAGCAGCAGGGAGAGAGGCGAAGAGAGCGATCCTCTACAGGATGAAAGTGTGATGCAAGAGACAGGAGACGGGAGACGGGAGACAGAGACAGATATGGGAATGAAAAGTTGACGTAGCTTGGAGCAGCCTGTGGCGGGCATCTTGACTAATTTATCACAGATTTTGAAGGGAATGAGCCGTGCAATTGGCGAGGGTTTGGAGTGAGTCCTCCAACTATCGCAGAGCAATCGAAGCGTTTAATTTTCACTTAATTGCCGTAGTTAAATCATAAATTTAATGAGAGTGCCGTAGAAAGCGATGACGAAGACGTTAGAGCCAGCAGCAGCGGCGGCGGCGGCAAGCGAGAAGCCGTCCGGTGAAGCCGTTAGCGAAATGAACTGTTAGATAATCTGGTCGAAACGTGTGCCGGGAGCAGGCAGCAGGCAGCACTGGCCGGGGGGGTACCAGTTTATGGCCAAGCTATGCGACTCTCGCGCTCTTTAGCTGAACTGAAATTAACTGAAAAAAAAGAAGCAAAGCAAAAAAAAAAACTAACCATTCGATGCTACGTGACGGGCATTCTGAGTGGAGTGAAGTGAAGTGGAGCTGTAAAAACTGCAACTGGCAGGCTTGTAAATGGGATTGAAATTGGAATTGGAATTGGAATTGCCAGTGGCGGCGGCGGCGGCGGCGGCGGCGGCGGCGGCCAGTTTCCAATGTGCGACGAGCGGCTATGCGCAGGCATCTCGAAGTATCTCGAATTGGAATGCCGTCAGATGGCATCCGTGCATCGGTACAGAGACACAATCAGAGAGACAGAGAGAGGGAGAGATGGATGGAGAGCAGATCAACTTTTAGAAGGCTGCAGCTGGCATTTCTTAAGTTACAAGAATCAAAGAAACTATAAAGATTTTAATATTAAGACACAAATTATCAGGCTGCCCTGAATGTAATTTTTACAATTTGTTTAACGAAATTCTAAGGGGAATTCCAAATGAAATTTCATAATTGTTTCTATCGCAAATTTAATTGTTTTGATTAATGTATTTTTTCCTTTTGAAAAAATGGCGACACTCTGCGTAAAATATATACCGAAAATAATAAATTCCAAAAAATTAATTGTTTCCAAAAGCCAGGTGTTCAAAGAGCCCAACAACAGGTGCACCTTGTTGTTCCACTTGTTACATATGTTTATTCTGGCTGCATTGTAATTATACAATCGCAAACGGAATTACATACATATGTATGCATGTATGTGTAGGCACAGTTGAGTGCAAGCTGAGCGAACTTCACGGAGAGAGTTAGAACAGCTCAGCTCTCAGCTGCTGCTAAGCTAAGCGCGAGAGCGCGGGAGCACGAGAGAGCAGCTAGCTGCTACAGAGGTTACAAACGAATCGAAGAACAGTTATAGAGTTTACTTTACTGCTGTTTACTTATTTTTAGAATTTACTGGGGAACATTAGGCTGGAAAATGCGTGCATGGTCTATGTAAACAATAAAATACTCGAATACTCCGCTGCTCGCTCAAATCTTAGCCTAAGCGACAATTAAACGATGATTCCTGAATAAAATCAGTTCTGTGGCCGAGCAATCATTCATATTCTGTTCAGTAAATGTTTAAATATGTTTAAATCCATTTCAAAACAAATTTGCTTCAACATTCGCTTGGCTATATCTTCTAGTATATTTAATCGGTACATCAAATGAGCCACCATCTAATTTTCTTACCCAAACAGCAGTCATAAGAACTACAATTAACCCAGTAACTCGAGAACAGTAGAAGTGCAAAAAGTGCCTGCTGTAAAATATCTAATTATTCGCAGTATTTTATTGTGCATTATGCGCGTAGTCCCCCCCACCAAGAGCATGCCGTCAATTCCGCTTTGATTATGCATATACATATACATATATTTCGTTTAAGGGGAGTACAAAAAATGCATTTAAATTTCATAATCCACCGCCAGTGTGTGTGTGTGTGTGCGTGACTCTCTATAAAGAAGCGCCATACTCGTACCCCTGTACCATGTCTATAATCAAAACGCAAATAAATTGCTGCCATTGCGGCAGGCAAGGCAGGCAGGCAGCAAACTAAAAAAACCACACACGTGAGTGAGTGCATTCCCAATCCAATCCAAGACAAGACCACAACCAACAAGACTGCCACTACGAATATGACGATGATGATGACGATGACGACGTCACTGGAGCGCATTAAACATATAGTTACGTTCATGTGTGTATGTGTGTGTTGTGTGTGTGTGGTAACAATTAAATTTGTGTTAAGTAATTCCAAACGATTATTAACATTACATTACACACTCAATAACCTAGCCCCCAAACAGAGGGAGAGTGCGAGTGCGAGTGCCAGTGGGCGTGGTAGTGGGACATTTCGACGACTAATTGACGGGCATCTCTTTTCACTAATTTGCTTGAATTTTTCATTGAAATGTGTGTGTTCACAGCACAGACGTGTGCCTGCCGCCTCATGCGGAAGCTACGACAGACTCCACTCAGATTGCCAGATGTTAAAGGCCTTGACTTGATCTCATACTCGTAGTTGAAATCGGAAATGTAGTCGGAAATGTTGTATAATTTTTTTTTTTGGTTTTTTTTTTTTTTTTGGTTAGCTACAGTCTAAATATGACACTGGACTTCTGGGCATTAAACTTTGCTTCTAGTCAAAGTACAATACCCTTTTCAGTACCCTTATAGGCATAGGCATGAAATGTGACTTTTGTGAGACAAACAAAGTAATCAAATTATCCCACTGTCCATTGCCCATTGCCATAATATTTAATTTAGTAATTTCGAGTTCTGCAAAAAATGCCCCGAGAGCCATTAAACTTTGGCACATCCCATAGATCATGTGAAAAATCAGCTAAAACAAGTGCACCCTACCATAATTTTGGTCGCAGGCCCTTGACTTGAATGGGTTTAACCCTGAATCTCCCGCCTCTCTCTCTCTCTCTCTCAGTGCTGATTGCTGGGCAATTTACAATAAAAAAAGAAAAATAAAAAAAAGGCCAGCACACAATAAAAACAAAAGGCAATTGTTTGGGGCCAAAAGCAGGCCGCTTCATTAGTGCATTAGTTGGAGCCCAAAGCCGAGAGCAATGTGAGCTCCGAAAGGTCATCAAAAGCGAACGAACGGTGGAATCTTTGGATTCTTGGAATCAGGGATGGGCCAAGATAAGCCGTGGAGATCACACAAGATGCACAGAATTGGGTCAACCAGTTGCCACTCTGGCACCACTCTGGCACACCCTCGTGAAGGTCACCTGTCAGGCTGTCTGTCCATCATTTGTCGCGTTTGTCACCTCTCATCTTCCAACACACAACATTTCCGGATTTGGCGAGTCGAGAAAGCGCCTCGGGGCGGCTCTCACTTTGGCCAATTAGTCAGACGTACGGCGACAAATCAAGCCACAAATTCGTCAGCCCACAAAAGCGGCTTCAAGCTGGAACTGGAGTCCAAGTCGAAGTTGGTGCCTCATCATCGCACCACTTTTACTCGCAGCTGAAGCTGATGCCGATGCTGAAGCTGTGTGGCTTAAACTAAAGCTAAATGCAGAGAGCCGCCTGTGGCTTTTTTTTTGTGGTCGTTTTCCTTGTTTTACAGCTCCCAGTGTCCAGTGTCGAGTGTTCAGTGTTGAGTGTCTTTCTGGTTGCAGTTGCTGGTAAATTCTATTTAAGCCAGCTCTTAAATGCATATGACAAGTGAATGTTGTTTTGGGCGGCCAGGAAAAAGCCAGACCAGGCTGCCGCTACCACCAGTCACAGTCGCAGTCCCAGTCGCAGTCCCAGTCTCAGCCCCAGTAGCAGTTGCAGCCATTAACTTGGCCAACTGGATTTGGTTTTGGTTTTGTTTTTCTTTTTTTTTTTTTGTTCGGTTGCGCTGTATTTTTTTTATGGCATATTTGGATCTGTATTTGGATCTGTTTATTGGCAACTCAATTGATTTCTTGCCTTGGCAGATGCTTCCCTTCCTAATTATTGTTTATTTTTGTTTTTGTTTTTTAATTTTATTACGAGCATATTTTTTTTTTTTTGGTTTGTGTTTTGTGGCCCTCTTTCGTTTCGTTTGTCGTTTTGTTTGTGGTATTTTTTGTCAAGTGGTTTTGTGCTTTGGTGGCCTGTTGTTT